AAAAAAGTTAAAAAAACTATTATGTTACGATCCTGGCCAATTTCGAAGTACAAATTCACGAGAAAGCACAATGCCGTCCAATTGCAAAAAGATGAACTTGAGAGGAGAGAGAGGGAAAGAAGAAGAAGAAAAAGAAAGAAAGAAGAAGAAGAAGATGTACACCAGCAAAGACCAATGGTAATCCCCCTTCTCCTCGCCAACCAAACTCCTCCTCCTTTTCTCCTCCCCTCTTCTTCAACAATAATTCAGAATAGTAATGATGAATTGCAGAACCAGAATCAATGTCCGAATTCCTCTTCTACTGCCAGCACAACATAAGGCCCACCATAGCCATGGCCGCCCTCCTCCTTCCTCTTCATAGGCTGAGGCTATGGTGGACTAGTAGGGCCCTGTCCGGACGTGCAAAAGACAACACAAAGCAGTTATGGCTGCTTCCACTCAGGCCGCCATGCCTGACTCTGCCTCGAAGCTTCTTGGTGTAGCTCTTCCCCAACGGGGGCCTTCCAGATGCAGCACCCACCAAGGTGATGAAGATGGCGTCCACCATAGCCAGGTAAGTACCACTGGCGCTCCCTCTCCTAGTCCCTTCTTCCTCCTCCTCCTACCCGATCTCCTCCACCATAGCCAAGGTGGAGAGCTGGGCCACTGTTCCCCACACCACTGCACACTAGCGCTGCTCCTCCAGCGCTCCAGCAGTGTGACGTCCAAACCGCTCGGCAAATGAGGGGGAGCACTAGATATAGCGGCCAACTTGCCTCTTGGGTGATGACTTCCAGGCCGCACGGGACCTCCTCCCTTTTAGAGGGAAACATCATTGCAGACTCTGATATTGCCCGTACAGGCCCTAGACGCAGACTACGTGGACTGGTACCCGCCTAGACCTAGCCTACAACTACTGCGCCTCTTTAAAAAAATCCAACTTTTGTCTTCGTCTGCTCGGTCTTGAGTACCCGACGCGTTGGTGGGGTACTGCCCTACCTGCTACTTGAGAGTCTTTCCCGCTGCTCTAAGTGTCGGGGGCCTCCTCCCATTACTTGAGTCAAGTTGAGCGTTTTAACCACTGCAACCCTCAATGTCACGGCCACAGGTAAGTACCAGCCCTACGGGCCTCCCAAGTAAGCAAGTACCCTTGCGGGTCACACATACACACTCAAGCCGTCAAGCACTCAGACAGGCACGCAGACCAGCAAGCAAGCACACACACACACAGAGTTAGAAAACTCAGCAGGAAGCGGCAATCTCAGCAAAGCATTCATTCCAGCGGCAAAACTCAGAAATCAGCTGTGTTCTCAGTCCGTGTTTGGGCAGGTCCTTACAAAAAAAATAAAATCTATGAAATGGAGCGAACACAGAAAGGCGAAGTGTAGAAACCCCGGTAGTTAAAGGGAGAACAGAGAGGCAAGCAGGGAAAAGGGATACGGACAGATATGGACGAATATGGATGGAAACAAGGTGGCAATACAGGACACAATAGATAGAATGGAAGGTAGAAGGCTTACTAGACCTTTGGCAAGTGTGGAGAGACAAGAAAAGCAGACTGTACATATAAAACAGGTGGCTTTCAAATGCGGGGTGGGCGGGAACAAGAAACAGATTATTTAGGAAGTACACAACCAAAAATGGACGACATTGAGATGGCGATCAGAGGCCTGTGAGACTGCTAGGAACACTCCCCTGCGCCTTGCCCTCCTCGAGATCCCCCTGCTGCGTGCCTGGGTGCTGCCTGTAAGCCTCCCGACCAGCAGGGGAACGCCTGAAGAAGAGCCATGGCTTGGGGAGTGACGCGTCTCATAGCAGTCCCCCCCTTGGTCAGGTGACTAGGGACACAAGGGTAAAGCCGACCCTGAGCTCTTCTCCTCTCCCCCTCTTTTTTTTTTCCCTTTTTAAAAAAAAAAACAGGTCCTGACGGTCCTGGCTCCATATCCATTCTGGGGAGCGTCAGTCCGGTTCCTATTCCCCCCGGCAAGTCAAAATAACAGAATTACATCATTGCACACACGCACGCCCCCTTCCGTCTGGCCGAAGGGTCCCTGATCAGCATTGATTACTCCACTGCAATGGAGGATTGACTGCCAGCTTGCCTTTCCCTGAGTCCCCTCTCAGATCCCTCTGTTGGAATCTGTCAGTAAAATGAAAATCCAAGGAAAACAGAGAATAGAGTTGACAGAACCCTGTGCCATCTCATGTGGCTCTGAAGTCTTGCTGTTCGTTCCGGTGTGAATTTGTTTTCTCCTGGGCAGCAGCCGAATTATGCCAGTCTTGCCATCTGTAATCCATCAATCTCAGCTATCTTTCCGTTGGCTGCTTCTCCGGGTCCTCTTGGATCTGGAGTCCGACTTTCTTCCATTGGCATCGGCTCTCCTTCTCCATCAGACGCCCTGCTGTTGCCCATATCTGTTCACTCCGGTTGCTGGACTTGTCGATGGTTCTGCTGCACCTTTCCTTCCAAATGACCCAAAGTGTCACCTTCCTGATTATCCCGAACCAGATGCGTTCAGATTTGTTAAATTGAGCGGGGATAACACCTCCATCTTTTCAATGATGTGGTATATTGCGTCTATCTGGACTATACCAGACCAAACTATCAAAGAGCTGAAGAGTAGAGCCAGAGCATACCTATGGTCAAGAGACCCAAACAAAACGAGGTACATCCTTGAGATAGCCTAACCCAGCCCGGACTGGCATGGCAAAAACTAGCCCTCGATAGCATCAGAGCTATAGCCCCCGTCAAGAGCCCAATCAACATGGCTGGTCTGTTTTGGGTGACGAACAAAGAGTGGACACAAAAGACGGGCAGAAGGAGACGACCGGCAAACTCGGCGCCAAACGAGATGCAACCTACCATCCCCAACTGGACAGCTCTCATCCGCTTTTGGAGAGAAATGATGCCAAAAAAAGTTTAAAAACCAAAGTCCAAAGAGGAAGTCCTACGTCAGACCCTCTTTGGGAACCCATGTGTGAGGGACGCAGGGGGTCACGCACTGTCACTTGCAAACAGGCATCGATGGCTCTCTTGGATCACACACGGGGTCTGGCAGGTGAGTCACATTTGGGATGAAGAGGGAAAAGATTGGATCGGCGAGGAACAACTGGGACTACGCCTAAAGGGCTGCCACCGCCTCGTTGAGAATCTGACAACAGCAATCAACAGCATTCCGGTCGGTTGGAAGGACCTATTAAAAGAGGAGTTCTCTTGAAAACCAGGGGAGTGAGGAGTACTGACCCAGGAAACGGTACCACAAAGAGCCTATCAATTCTACTGCAGATCTCCTACACCAGTCTTTGCAGGAGTCTTCCCCTCCTTCCCAATGGACTGGACCGAGCCCAAAACCCTGTCCATCCGCAATAGTGATCCATAAGAAGAGACCCTGAACTCATATACGCTTCGAAAAGTAAGGGTACTGGGCATTTTGCGAAAGATTATATTCCAAGTAGATACAGCAATCCAAGATCTAGAATTCGACCCAGATGAATGGGCTTGGACCTCAGACAATAACAGAATCTGCATGACTCCCAGGCGCATAACTCAGTACACAGTCAAAATGGGTTACATGATGCTACTGAAAACAAAGGACCCGGAGCCTGTAATCAAAGAAGATGGACCTGATGCTACTGAAAACAAAGGACCCGGAGCCTGTAATCAAAGAAGATGGACCAAATTGCTAGGACAAGGAATGAAACCAATCTCCAAGATACCCTGGCGGACATATAAATCAATACGCCCAGTTAAAATCAGAAGCCTTCAATGGCTGATTGCATACAATGCCCTCCCAGTGAACTCTTGGCTACGCGCCCGTAGAAAGAGTAGCGACCCAAATAGTTCAGAACAATGTTGGGTCTGCTCAGACAACGAACAGGATACACTGTCTGATAACCTGCAAATCCGCAACTGACTTATGCGCAAGAGCCTCAGTACTCTGGGGCCACCTCTTCCCCTCCTCCCTTCCCGAACACCCGATCCAATTACTCCTATGGGCTCTCCCCCTCTTTTGAGAAAGAGAAAAAAGAAAAAAGAAAAGAAGAAATCTATGAAATGGAAATACAAATACAAGATATATGCACTGCTCCCTTCCCTTTCCCTCCCTCCCTGACGTTCCTCCCCTCCCTCCTTGTGGTCCCTCAACTCCCTCCGTTTCCTCCCTCTCTCCCTTGCTTCCCTCCTCTCCCAGACACTCCCTCTCTCCCTCCCTCTCTCCCTCCCTCTCTCCCTCCCTCTCTCCCTCCCTCTCTCCCTCTCTCTCTCTCTCTCTCTCTCTCTCTCTCTCTCTCTAGCTCTCTTCCCTCCTTCCCTCCATCCTGCCTTCCCCTTGCTTCTCCCCCATTCCTGACACTC